TTTTTATATCGTTGACCACTCTAGAGGTGAACAAATAAATAAAAAATGTAAAAGTAAAGTGTATTATTATTATAATGTTTTTATGATTATTTTAAAAATCAGATATATTACATATTGGTCTGAATTATCATTTATACCCGTTAAATAACGATAAAAAATAAACTAAAAGCTGCAAAAATTATTTAAGCTTGTTTGAATATTTATATGATCGAGTTAATAATAGTTATATGCTATTATGTTGAATATGCGATTATGTAGGTTAATTGTGTTAACGATTTTACCTCTAATTATTTGGAGCACTTGTTCTAAAAACTCAGATAATTTTTATATATTATAAAATTATTAAAGTTCTCTTATTTTCAAAATTCATTATTATGGATTTATTATTGTAAGTACTTAAGTTGAATATTTCAAAAACAATCGTTCAACTTTACACTTAAAATTTTTTTAAACAGTTATCTGATTAAAAATTTATTAGAAAAAAGGATGATTCTTATTTGAAAAAAGAAGTTAATGTCACCGTAGTATTTCTTTAATTACGGTATAAAATTCAGGATTTGAATAAATTCATAATAAAAGGTAAAAACTGGGGCAACCATGCTTGATGAATCACCCAGTATATAAAATGATAATAGGATCCAAATGAATGTTGATGTATCCAAACCGTTATCTAATTCTCAGTATGTTTCTGTATAATGATATTTTTTTGAATGTTAAAACTATATATTATCTTCGCTATGTTGTATGTGCAGCTTGCAGACCTTCTGGACGTGAGGGGTCCGATTTCAGAAAGTGTCAATCCTTTTGGTACCTATCTCATAAACAACAAGGTCTGCTTGTAATTTAATATTTATTTATTTTTTCAATTAAATTCAATCAAATCGTGTATAAAATGTAGAACGAAATCAATAATATTCTATGCTTTATCATGCTATAAGAAAATTGATAAGTTGTTATATTTACCGTTCGATAGTTGTAGTATAATATTTAGGTATGCAGATTCCTAATAATAAAATGTTATACAGATCAGTGTGTAAGAAAAACAATATTATGTAATGACTGCCTATATTAAATGAAAAATTAGTTAAATTTTTATATTTTTAATTTATGGATATATTAAAAAAATACTTAACATTTTTTTATAACTATACATTTTCTCTATAACTCATCATAGTCAAAAATCACATAGATAAAAAAACAGTTATCGATGGGTCGACCCATTGATAATATTTGCAAAAACTTTAATATGAAAGCAATTTACTCATTTAGACCTCGTACATCAATAAAAATTATATTTACAAGACTTTATAATTGATATTCTAATGCAAACACACAATACATATTTTGTGCAATATGCAAACCGAAACTTTTTCTCGAGACATTTAATTTTTGTATCATTTGGCCAATAATTAATAATTATTAGTCTTTGGTATATACGAGAGTGTCTGAGTGTACCTATATATTTAATATATAAACACACTAATATGTAATTTACACATTATATGTTCTTAAGATTTATAATGAGGCGAGTAACTAATGTAAGTAAAAAAAAAAATATATGACTTAAATGGCTCCAGCAGCCAATGTTTAAAAGGATCAATAAAAAAAAAAAAAAATAAAAACAACAATAATAATAATAAAAATAATGTGAGCTCGACGGCTATTTCTATTCAAATGCAGTGACGTTCTATTGTTACACCGAGGCCAAAGAGTTTTGCTCCGTGTTATTGTAAACCATATATTATACAGAGAGTTTTTTTGACGCAAGAAATTTATTATTTTGTCTTTAAATAATTTTTTTAATATTTTTTAATTGTCGTTTATTTTAAACTTTTTTAATTAATTGAATAACATCAAATATTTTTACTTTATATTCTGAAGTACAATATTTTTGGAGTATTTTGATGTGCACGTATTATGTATAAATAGAATTTCGTATGAGTAAATAATATTAGTAATAAGTTTAGATTAGCGAATTAGTATTATCCTTGCGACTTCAATCTGATCATCTATCCAGCGCGTTAGTACAAAAAAATATAATTTTTTTTTCCAAATTTATGTTTTGTATAACGACATACATTTGTACAAAAAAAAATCTTTTTTCAAAGTCATTAATAGTTATTGAAATAATGAATGCATTGTGTTTAAAAAAAAAAATAATATCCTGTTCGTTCAAAGCTGTAGTGAGTTGAAGCAAAAACGTATACATATCAAATTGAACGCTGTTATTGCTAATGTATACCCATTTTAATAATCATTTGGCGTAAATATAATTTAAGTGATGCTATGCATTAAATTTTGCTGTCTAAAATATATATTACAATAAGGCCATCAATATTATAATCTCGTGTGGTGAACTAATACTATCTTATACTGCATTTAATAATAAATAATTTTGTGTGAAGGAAACTTTTTTATAAAATAAAAATAAAAATACATTGGTTTCCCTTAAATTTTTAAAAACAACATTGCATACTTGTATTACGGATTCTGAATTAAACGAGGTGTATTAAAAAAAAAAAAAAATTATTTGACATACTAAAAATGCCATCTTGGAAAGTGAAATAATTTGTAAGTAATAATAAATTACATGTTGAATCAAATACTTAATGATTAAAAAATATATCGTCGTATAATAGAAAAGTAAACGATATTCAGTCCAGTAAGATTTGATGATGTAATAATATTATGATACATAACATGTCGTAAATATCTTAAATATAGAGAGCAGATTTTTAGGTTTTTAAAAGTTTAAAGTATTATGGTAATCTTTCTAAAAAATTTTAAATATTCTTCTTATATCCTATTAAAATGTACTAAAATTATGCATTAAAATAATTTATTTTTAGTATTGAGTCAATATCATTAAATCATATAAGTTAGGTACAGTAAGTTATATTATGTTTTTTATGTTTGTATGTTAATGTTTTAAGTTCTATATATTATTCTTACACCAAACTGGGCTTAGATATTAGATAGTTGATAAAATATTTGGTCAAATCGTACGTATTACACTTTGAAAGGATCAGTTAATTTGTTCAATTAGTAGTGCTTAATTATGCGATTAAATTATACACACCATAATTCGTTGTAATCAAGTTGACATCTGGAAAATAAATGACATAAAAATACATTAATATCAATGCAAATAATAATTTACGGATAACGGATAGTTGGCGATGGTACGGGTTTCGGACCGCGCAAGTGACAATTTTATATTTTATTATGATATTCTATTGTGTATAAATAATATTCTCGTTCGTTGTTGATGGTCTTATCCTTTGCCTCCGGTTGATGATATCGTGAAGTCGTAGACCTAAACGTGTTCTCACAAAAGAATTTTACCTCACTTAATACGTAGATTCGTGGATACGCAGATAGTTTTTCTTTACGTATCCTGTTAGCTGAGTACTTATATCGATCGATCGGCAGTCGTCTATATTATACAAGTAAGGGTTAACTGAGCGGAAAACATCTACACGAAAGCGTGGCTGGCATATGTGGTTTTGTGAAGGAAAAAATGGATTTTATTTTTTTTCTATACAATAAGAGAGTTCTACAAATGAATGTAGGTATATACATGTGTATGGTGATCTCGGAAATATATTTTAAACGGTTTCTCGTAAAAATTGTTCGGCTGTTATAAATACACGCGCAGTACAACTTTATGCACTTAATAATATATAACACGCAAACCGTTTAAAGACCAATCTATTGATAAAAACAATCATATGTACTTAATGTTTAGTTAAGCTGCTTAATATTTTGTGTGAGCAAGTGTAATAATAATAATACTGCTATCGGTATTATACACATCGGTCTACTTGGCAGTGAATGTACTTGTGTTAAACATAAAAGGGCTTGAGTTGGAAAAAATTAAAAATAATAATAATAATTTTAAAATTTTAAATCCACGTGTGACTTTGTTTAAGGGAAGAATTACTGAAATTTTTTAAATACTATATTTTTACTGCATACTTAAATAATATAAATTAATCATTTTAAAATATAATCTATGTTTTTGTAAATATATATTTGCGTAAATTTGTTCTACACAGTTCATAGATTTAGTTGTCAATTAAAAATAAAAATTAAGATAAAACGATTAATGATGACTTAAGTGATAAGATGATAATATATAGAAATATAGAATTATTAGTGCGTTTGTCGTAACGAGTGAGCCCTTGCAACTAAAAAATAAATTAGCTCAAAATAAAACCAAAAATATCAAAAACTATAAAATTCATTACGTTTTTTTCAATTAATTAATTGATAGTGACAATTTAGTATTATTGACAAACTTTTAAATTTATATTTGAAGAAAAATTAATTCGGGTATTAGTTTTTAAATTAGATAATATAAGCACTTTACAATATAAAAATATTTACAATATTCATATCTTATTTAAAAATTTAAATATCAAAAATATCTAAAGGTCAACGATTAAGCTCGGATAATTTTCTCACATTTAACTTTGATAATAGGTCAATTCACTCTGTTAACAGGCTATTGGTTTTACTGAATACTAATTTGTTATATTTTATCTTTATTATTTGTTTCATTTTCTGAATTTAAAAATATTATGTATATTTAAAGACGTCTATACTTTCAAATTTTTGAAATGTTTTGTACTATTTAAGAAGTGTTCTGTAGTGATATAAGCTCCTGTTTTTTAAACGAAAATCTTCCTTTTTTACTGTTAATTATTTAGTGGGTATTTTTTTTTTTTAATTTTGATGTACCTAATTTAAAATTCAATCGAGTATAGTTTCTCAGTTAAAATGTTTGTATTTAGGATAAAAATCTTTAAAAATTTAGTGTAAACATTAATTACTAATATAATATTATACTTGAACGATCCTTACAAATAGGTAGGTGAGCATGCTTGGCGAATCACGCTACTGTATATTTATGTTATTTAGCCGGTTATTGATTTATATCGTAGATGACCCGTATAACGATAATAATAAAAACATTAATTACCACTACGGTGTTTTAGGTAAAAATCTTGCCGTATTTTCTGTAGCGGAGACTCGGAGTCGCGATGGTCGCGTGACGACAGCAGTGACTCGCTGGTACTGTGGCTGAGCGTCGGGCGAAATGTGCGCGGTGAGCCGAGCACCGGAAAACGTATCCCGGACTAGCGTCGCTTTCGGCGTCGCGTCCCTGGCAATACTGCTGATCGGTTTTGTGACTGGTTCTTGGGTGACCACCAGGGAACCGTACAGGGTGCCGGGCACGGACGGTGCCTACACGGCCGCCGCGTTCCGGATCGGTTTGTGGAAGATTTGTCCAACCCTGAGGAAGGCGAATTCTACAATGAGTAAGTACCACGTGTTTTATATAGTTCAAAAACAATTTAGCACGTTGAAAAGTTTTTACTGGCCCCCCTAACTGCAACGAGTATTTCATAAAAATGAACTATTATATTGTCTTGATTTTCGAAGTTCAATTTACACATTCCTATATCTGATGTAGGTATATTGTATAACTGTTGTAATAAAAAATAGTTATTAAAGATAGAAAATTAATTATAATTATAAATGTCTTGTGATAACAATAAATTGATGACAGTATACGAAGAGTGTAATTGTACACCTCGAAAACAAGACACGTGATACGAAAACTCACTTGAGATTCGACTCCATCTAACACCGGCCCTGGAGGCATGCAAACGGGATGTACAATATTACGTCGCCGATAGTGTGTTCAACCGTCAGTAAAACGGTTCAGATTACTTTTTTTCTCATATCATATAGCGAATTTATAATTTATACATAAAATATGCGTTTCATTACACATTTTGTTGAAAACAAAACTTTTTTATTGTAGTGATTTTGTTTAGTTTATTAAGTTTTTTGTCAAGCACATCTCATATTTTTCATTTCATATTCAAAAACTTGATATACTTCTGAAACAATTTAACAAATATTGTATTAGTTGCATACAAGATAAGCATGCAAAATATGTTCTTTGCCGTTTTTGTTATTACAACATTACATTGCATCTATTTCTATACATTCATCAGTAAACATTGTATATAGGTAGTATGTTGATTTTGCATTGGGTATTTTATTTATCAACAGTTTCAGCAGACATTCTGCTCCGGAATCTGAGATAAAAATATCAAAAAACCAACGACCGTTGTTTAAAAATACGAAAGCAGTGTACATGATTTTATGATATAGAAAGCAATTTGATGTTTTCTTTTTTTTTTTAAACAACCTAGTGGGGTGTATTTCAAGTTGTATTTACTGAAAAAAATATCGTGTCACGCTTTTAGTACGTTTTTTTTTTATACATCTCGTTAGTTGTTCAGACTGATGACTGATTAATCAATTCTCCATTGGTGGAAACTTTGATGACAAGCACGATTTAAAATATTTATTATCTTATGTTATGATGACCAAACTTAGATTCAAGGCTATACTTAAAATATATTTTTGGGATGGGGGTTATATCCATAAATCCATGTAGTAGATTATAGTAGTTTTTTTTTTTTTTTGTTGGTAAGAACTTGTTGACAACTATGACAAAGTTAGTAATTTTTTGATACACACCATCCTTGCTGACCACTTCATATCTCGTAAACAAATTTGATTGCATTTTCTCATTGATAGAATATATGATAATGTGTAACAAATAATAATGTGATAATGTTTTTTTGTTGGTAATTTAACAATGAATGAGGCAGATTACGACTATTGCTGGAGAGGGTAGAATACGTTAGCCACATCATAACTTGTAACTATTGTTTTTGACATACTTATTTATTTTTTCATGTTAATAATGTCAGTTAACAATGTGTTCACTAAAGTTGATGTGAATTATTTAAAAATTAAGGTGCTGTTGTTGATAGTGCTCGAGAAAAATAAAAATACATTTATTTTGAAAAGTTAATAGAAGCCTAACTATAATAATATGCCTGTATGACAAAGTACATAAAATTATGTAAATTATTTATAAACTGCTAAAAAAAAAATAAAAGAATTGGAAAGTAGTTACTAATTAAATTTATACATTGGTTAATTATTAGTTATAACAATTATGTAATTATAATTGTGTAACTTCATAAATAGTATAAACTAGTTTTCAGTTTACAAATACATCTTATCTATATCGAAATGCAAATCACATAGGTATTTTTACTCGGGCGTAAAACGTTATTTCCGTTAAGTCCTAGGGCGGGCAAATAAAGCAGCTCTCAGTTTCGAGATTGCGGCGTTTCGTTTGGTTTTACGGTGTCTTTATATTTTCATCTTTTTATTTTATTTTATTTTTTAGAATTGTCCAAAGATACATTTTTATAAAGTTTTTGGTTCATTGTCTGAATCAATAAAGTTCTTTTACCGTACGATTGACTGTTTGATGAACGTAGTCGTAAGTTTTCCGACATGGAATATATATAGGTTCTCCATTGATCGCCGTATATTATCGTTGTATATATATTATGGTTGACCCGACGCGTCATTGTTATGTCTGGCCATATCGTTTTTCAACAATAAAGAAAACACACTGCACCACCATTCCGAATCTTATTCCTACGTTGACTGGGAAATGCTATGTAATATTATACTAGCACCAACGATGTACCAGATTATATAAGTTTCCTACTACGTTTATGCATTTGTTATTCAATTAGAATTTGAATTAATTAAACGCTGATTGTGAGTTGAGTACCAACTAGTTCAAAAGTTAAAGCCAAGTTAAGTGATTGGTTTTTTTTTTAACGTTTTAACTCAATTAGTTTGTACTTTTTTTTAATTTACTTGATAATAGCTATCTACTTATAAAACCCACTGTAACAATTTAGCTTTTCCCAGTTAACTTAATTTAGTCGATTTATTTAATAGCTCTTATTACTATAATTTACTGTATGTTATTAATATGTTACTGAATTATACTGAAAATATATATAAATATAAAAAAATAAATATTTAATCATTCTTTATATTATCCAATAGTTTTAAATTAATAACATGTCATAGCGTAAACAATTATAGCTTCTAGTGTGTAATTAGAAGGGTTAGAGAGATGTATTAACAGCAAAATATTTATTATTATTATTAAAACATTTTTGAAAGTTACACAATCATTTATGTCTGATCCAGATGTTCATAAAAGAAAAAAAGGAAATACAAATGATTTATTTTTATCCAAGTTAAGTTAATATTTTTAACATTGATTTAATTTAACTATCTAATTAAGTTAATTATTTTGATTAATTTGCCGATTGATACATGATAGTGAATCTTGTAAGATAATTCATGGTTGAAATTACGACCGTAAACAGTTCTTTTGTGTTCTTTAAGTTTATAATAAGACAAAATAGTATAATAAATATGTTTATTATTATTAATTAATTTATACATCGCTAATGTAACATAATGATATATTACACTTGTTATCGATTTAATACGATTTAATAAGGGTTAAAATAGTTAAAAGATTCAAATGCACCATTTTATCAAATCGTATTTTATGTATGTGAAATATTATGTTTATTATTTACGTATATTTAATAGTGAGACAGAGACCTATAAGTGGGGTATCGAAATGTTATTTTTACCCAAAGAATACAATAACAATATTTATGGTATAGTTATTATTATTGTGACTGAATATAATATTATAATAAGTATATTATATTTTGAAATATTACTTTGAAATCAACTGCAATGGTTTGAATTTGTATACGTTGCAATATCGCACCGTCAAAAGTATTTTTTGCCGACAATAGTCGAGTATACGTTTACGCGCGTATAATATTCAAAAACGTTATCAGAACGGTATAGTAATATTATATAATAATGGTATCTATCGCTGTGCAAGATATACATATATTGTGATGGTATAGTTGATACATAAGTTTTGGATATCAACAGCAGATTATTAATTCATATAATAAGTGCTCGTACGTATATATTTATCAGTTATTTGTAAGAAAATTCATGTATATAGATTACAGAGCGATTAGCTGAGCATGTTTACCACTATTTTTTAATTTACGAATAAATAACGAACCAATTAAAAATCCGATTTTTGCAATCTTATAGTATAACATATTTAATACGATAAATAATTTGATTTTTTTATGTTACGGTTTAAGTGTTGTTGACAAGACTCGAGATTAGTGTCAGTACAGAATACTATAAATAATTAATTTAATTTTTTTTATGTTGATATATATATATATATACATAGGTATTTTTAAATTCAAACGAATAGTTTCTAAATTATTGAATTGTACGCGTATGCATCAAATAATAATGATAAGAATCCGTGAAAATGGGCTTGGAGATATGGTTATTTTAAAATTATAGTAATTAATATTGATAAATTAGTTTTTTATGTCCATAAAAATTATTAGAATTTATAAGTGCTAGACTGAATATTATTTATATTTTTTTATTTGACTTAAAATCCTCATACTGTATAGTTTAATAACAAAGGAAATACTAGTTTGAATTTTGATGCATTAAATTTTAAATCATCAAACAAATTATACTTATGGTTAAAACAATGAGTTTAATTTGAAAAATAAGCTTATATTATCATGAAACAATACCTAAAACCACAGAATAATATATTCATCTAAAAATATAGTATTTAAGTTATAGCTAAAAATTCCAAAGATCAAAATTTAAATAAATGTAATAACGAAAGATTTAAAGTTAGTAATATAAATATATTAGTTATTATAATAACCAACTATAAGAGTTATTCTATTTGTAGAACTAACTAAAATATAAAGTAATGCAAGAAAATATCTCTCTTTTTTTAAAATGTTTAAGATAAAAAAATTACAATATTCAACGGATAACAGTATTTGTTCTTAAAATTTGTTAGTTTGTCAGTTTATCATTCTATATAAAATATATGTTTATGATATACGTGACTGTTGAGTACCATATTTGAGTACTTACACGGATTCAACTTAAGACTATAATTTTATTTATATTATACTACATGGTCTATAGTATTCTAAAAGCCGGTGAATAACTCCACTCACCTACGAATGTTAAACATAAAGTCCGTTACCGTTTAATGAACACATAAGCATTACAATAATGTTATTGTGATCATAAGTTTTAGTGAATATAATTGATCAATCGTTTGGATCTTAATTTCTGGTTTGAAATTTTATGTTAATATATAAAAAGTTGAGTCACTTATTTTTCATTTTATCGCCGTGAATAAAAATTCTTAATTGATTTTTTCATTTTTCTCATGACTGTGTTTTTGTTCATAACTTTTTTATTTGTGAAGTGTAAAGTCAAATAAATCGTACATTTGTTTTAAAGATAATATTTTAGATAATAA